TTTGTCACCTGCAGAATTCCAAATCACTTTCTTGATGTCATCTAAAGAAAATAGAACATCAAAGCTAGAACTTTCTTCAAGCGAGAGCTCATTGAAAGCAACACCTTCTAACCTAGGTCGACAAGGATTGGGCTCTTGAATCATGTCTTTAAAAGGATTGAACACAAGCAGTTTGAGATTTAAAAGTTGTAAGATATTTCCTATAAAGAAAAATATATCTATAGATAAAATATGTAACCATCTATTCTTATTGAACAAAAAAAATTCTGCAGCAATATGAATACACCTTTTTTTCTTTCTAAAATTGAGAGGATCTCAACTTGTTCAACTGAAGCCTTATTGTAAGAAAGAAAACAGAAAGGACTATGCAATTGTTGGAAGAACAGGCTCTACTTGAAAAAGAAAGAAACCGCGCTCGAAAGTTGTCTAGTGAAATTCAAGGTTTTGGGAGTTCATATTAAACTTCGACTAAAAAACTATTGTACTTACTTTATCACACAGGCAAAACCTTTGTAAACATGCAACTAGAACTTTGTATTTTACACAACATATATCTTTGTATTTTTGAAAAGACTTATGTGACATAAGCATCCAATTAACTTTAATTGCTTTAGATTTTATAGTTAAACGATGTTCACTATGACATTAACAAAATAATTTTGAAAAATATTCTGTCTGTCTAAAATATAACACAAAACATTTATACAAAATTTCATAAGCTGTTTTAATAAGACTTGCTAAACAGAATCATAGAACTTATGTCAATAGACTAATTCGAATAAAACAATTCAATTAAGTATCTAATATATTACAAATAGATTAAAATGTCTACGATAGAAGAAGCAATGATATCTCACTAAATAAAATCATGAGTACGAACATTCAAATAAACAATCTTGTTAACACATTGATTGCCTTCTTTAAAAATATGAATTATACCATAAACTTCTTTTCACCTTCTTAGTCTTGATATGCTTTATACTACTATTCAACCACACATTTTTTAACTCTCAAAAAATAATGTCAACAAACTTGAAAGCAAGATTAAAGAACTATGAATTAGATTCTAACCATAAACAAAATCAACCTCTTAAAAGATATCTCAATAGCTATAATGTAACTTAGCATAAAAAGAATTAGTAACACCTAAGTGAAGGAAAAACACTACGAGTTGATGCACCAGTGTTTATAAAGATACCACTACAAGTACCAAGACCAAGGAACCCATTAGTGTTCCCTTAGTTATACCAACAATATTACATTTAATCAAGAAATCATTGGAGACCTCCAAATTGTGGATCTACGTAGTATGCAAGTAGAATTATTTTCATCTGTTAGATGATTTTGTTGGTTTTGATGATGAAAACACTTTATATCAAATGAAATTCAGTGAAGTTTCTATCTATCAAGTCAATTAAATGGTCAAGATGCTTTTTGTGATAACAAATATCAAGTTACTTCAATGATGACAACACCTTAGATCAAACAATGTTCAGTGAAGTATTTGGTATCAAATGACCAACAATCTCTGATGGTGAATGAAGGAAAGAAAACGAAAGACGAATCAACGAAAGTAAAGGGTACACGAAATTCATTTCTCTTACTCTTCTTCTTCACCTTTACAATATGTTAAATATTTCACCATTATTCATACTACATTAATGTTGTTGTTGTTGTTCTTCTTGAGACCCTAAACCCTAGAGTTTTAATATTGTGTGTTGTTATGTTTTTGTGTTGTTGTTGTTGGTGGTGGTGTGTAGTCGTTGTAAATTAGAAAAAAATTTAATGTTATATATTGTTGTGATTGAGAGTGGGATTGAAATTTTTTTGTGTTGTTGAGAATGCTATATATTATTGTGACTTAGCAATGTTTTATTTTGAAAAATATGAATAATAAAAAATTTATACTTAACAAATTTTAAATTCAAGAGGCATAATTTTAAAAGCATTTGATTTAAAATTTCAAAATATATTATAGATCATAATTAGATGAAAGCTAATAGATTAAGTTTGGTGTATGTGAAAGGAGTTCTTGAATTTCTTGAATCCGCATAAATAAATTTTCATAACAACAATGAGATCTTTTAATGTCATTATGTTATATGCGAGAATATATATATATATATATATATATATATATATATATATATATATATATATATATATATATATATATATATATATATATATATATATATATATATATATATATATATATATATATATATATATATATATATATATATATATATATATATATATATATATATATATTAGTAAAAATTAAGTAAAATTAGTAAAATAAAGTAATATTCAATCATCTATATTGTAATAAAATTAGTAAAAATTATACAATATGAACGTGGCACGGGGAAGTGGATAAAAACCAAACTATGATACAAAAAATATGAAGTTGATGTAGATATGGATGATAAACTAGAAGATATGATTTGTTTTGTGATATTGGATAATATTATTTTTAGAAAAACCCATATGTATGATACTTTATGCAGTGATAAGGAATGTTCGTTATATAAGGGGTGCACAAATTTTACATAAATGTCCATGTTGTTAAAAAAATTTAATCCAAAGGCAAAAAATGGGTGGATGAATAAAAGTTCCATAGAATTGATTGAATTGCTGAAAGAAATGTTTTCAGAAGGTAACAAGTTGTCAGACCCTAGTTATGAGGCCAAAAATATATTGTGTTCAATGAGTTTAGATTATATAAAAATACATGTATGGTGTAATGATTGCATACTATATAGGAAAGAGTGTGAAAAACTAAATCAATTTCCAAATTGTGGGGAGTTGAACTACAAGTTGAAGGACAAAATGGTGATAACGATGTAAGTAAGATATGTCTTTCAACCAAAATTTTATGGTACCTGCCAATAATTTCAAGGTTCAAGTGATTGTTTTCTAATGTTAAAGACACGGAGAATATTAGATGGCAAAAAGATGAAATAAAATGTGATAAAAAAATTCTCCATGCAAGAAGCACAAATATATGTTATTATCTATGATGATTTTGAAGCCAAGACAATCTGGAAACGACATAGATGTTTATTAAAGTCCATTGATTAAATATTTAAGATTTTTATGGAAATAAGATGTTAATGTTGATGATGCATATTCAGGTGACATGTTTAAGATGTGGGTCATGTTGTTTTTCACAATTAACGGCTTTCTTGCATATGGTAATTTGTCTAGCTACAACATCGAGGAACATAAAGTATGTCATATATGTGAATATAATACATGCTCCTACCAACTCAGTATGGAAAAAATATTGTTTTACCCCATGGGAATTAGAAAATTTTAAAACACAATCATCTATATTGTAGATTGCATAATGCTTTTAGTAAAGAGTAGGAGTTTGATATCAGGGAGGAAGTTTATAAATGACAACAACACATTTATGTTGCCTTTGTAAATAATCAAAAAGGTCTAGTTGGGAAAAATATATGGAAAAAGAGGTTGGTGTTCTTTAATCTTCCATATTGGTCTAGCCTCGATG